GCCTTCGCACAACATACCAAATGGCCGAAAATTTCTAAAATCGCTCAATAACCACGCCTACTTCCCATATAACGGTAATTTTCAGAAATACGAAAACTGCGATATTTTAATAACTACTGGAGATTATTCACTCAAAATTGATATTTACAATAACTTTTAGACGAAAAATAAGAATGTTATAAATTTTTGGAAAATGGGCGTAGCCACGCCCACTTATGGTTACATGTGTATAACTTGGTAACCGCTGCACCAATTTCTTCCAAACTTGGCACAGTGTTGGCCTTGGTACAGCATAAAAAATCGCCCACATCCGATATAACGGTAATTCAGAGAAATACAAAATCTTCGATAAATCAGTAAATATTGAAGCTAATTTATTCAAAATTGATGCTTGCAACAATTCTTTACCAAGAAATACGTTTATGGTAAAATTTTGGAAAATGGGCGTGGCACCGCCCACTTATGATCACATATAAGTATATCGGTAACCGTTCTACCAATTTGTACCAAACTCGGTGTGGTTATTGTGCTTGCCACATATAAGCAAAACGTTGAAAATTATTGAAATCGGACTAAAATAACGGCCGCTTCTCATATAACGGTAAATTTCAGAAATGCTTGAAACTTCAATATTTCGAAATTGAAGGACGCTAATTTACTCAAAATTGATACACCCCGGCTTACCATCTAGCGGAAGGTTTCGGAAAGGTAAAAAAACATATATTTAATACTTGCGCCGGGTATTTAATGTTCGGCTCCGCCCGAACTTAGACTTTCTTATTTGTTTTTTATTAATTTTATTTAAAATATGAATATACAAGATGGATGTACTTTAAGCTTGATTAGGTTTGTTTTTTAAACTGAGCTTATATCTATAGACTATAGTCTAATGGGAATCGGAGAAGCTCTGTTTTTGTCTAATTTTGACTACTGAAAAATATTGGCGAAAAAGACATTAAACACCTTTTGAAGTTTTCCTTTTTAATCCAGCTTTTTATAAAAAAAAAAAACCGAAAAAGTCGGCTAATTTATCCGATTCCCTTTAATAACTAGGTTCAGCAAGTCTAGAGAAAATAATCGGAATTGCCGTAAGTTATTCGAAAGCATTTTAAACATCTATCCAGAAATCAAAAAGCGAATATGGGCCAAATAGCTATTGTCTGAACTACAGAATATATGAAATTTGAAGAAATCCTAGACACAAGACTGTATGGGCGAATAAAATTAATAGAAGAGTTAAAAAAGTTATTATATGCGGGGAACTTTAGCTTTTATGGTTTCAATAGATAAACAAGTTAGAAAGTCTAAGTTCGAGCGGAGCCGAATATTAAATACCCGGCGTAGGTACTAAGTATATGATTCTCACCTTTCCGAAAGCTACCGCTACATGCTAAGCAGGTGTGTATCAATTTTGAGTAAATTAGCGTCCTTAAATTTCGAAATATTGAAGTTTCAAGCATTTCTGAAATTTGCCGTTATATGAAAAGTTGTCGTAATTTTAATCTGATTCCAATAATTTTCGACGTTTTGCTTCTATGTGGCATACCGAGTTTCGTACAAATTGGTAGAACGGTTACCGAGATACATATATGTGATCATAAGTGGGCGGTGCCACGCCCATTTTCCAAAACTATATCATAATTCAATTTTAGTTTATTTTGCACAAGTAAAACTATTGTCTCTTAAAGTACATCGACATTTGGAAATATATCTGTGTATAATTCAATATTTCATTATAAGTAAATACATTAGTTATATTTAATTTAGTGAAAGATAAAGTAGGAGGGCATATACATGCATAAGTATTTAGTTAAAGTAAACAGAGTTACAGAAGTGTANAGTAAACAGAGTTAGAGAAGTGTGTTTTCTATTGCAAAAAACTCCATTAAGGCCAATTTAAAGCGCGCTGTATTGCGTTCATTTTTAACGACATTCGGTAATGAGTTCCATAGTTTGATCGCACTGGCAAAGAACGTTCTAGATAACGAAAGATATTTATAGCGTGGAACAATGAGGTTGCAAGTGCTGTCTGACTTCGCGAAACATAAATTTCTTAAGAGGTATTCTGGTTGCCTTTTATAAATTAATTGATTTAGGAAAACAAGGTTGCGATAATTAAGGAAATTAGTAAGACTGCAGCCCATTATCTTAAAAGAAAACTCCGATATGTGCTCAAATTTTCGCTTCGAAAAGAAATATCGTGCACAATTGTTCAGAGAAAGTTGCAGCTTTTTCTGTGATTCACAATCCATATTTCCATACAAGAGCCCACCAAACGGTATCAATGGAACTATGAGAGTTCTCACCAATTTCAGTTTCACATTTAAAGGAATGACGTCGGCTGTTTACCATAATTTTCTTAAAATAGAGTAGATTTTGCTTAGAATATTGTTAATATGGTATTTACATTCAAGGTATGAATTTAATTTAAACCCTAAGCTAGTAACAACGGACTCGTATTTGATATTAATGCCCTGTATGGTTAAAGATGGTAAATTCTTCACAAGTTGCGAGGAGTACGTAATACAAATGGCTTTTGTCTTAGAGGCATTTAGATTTAAGTTATTTTCTTTCGCCCACGAAGAGATGCGTTCTAGGTCTTCGTTTACTCTAAACACCAAATCCTCAGATAGGCCAATCGGACGAGAAAAATATACTTGTGCATCGTCTGCATACAAATGTATCGACACAGTCTTACAACAATAAGTTATATCGTTAATAAACATACTGAACAAAATTGGACCAAGTATAGATCCCTGAGGCACCCCCGACTGAGGACGCTTCATCTCAGAGCAGTTGCTTTTAATAATTTTCAAGCAATCTTAGAGCGCTAGCGGATAATCCAAAATAAGTTTTTAATTTTAATAAAAGAATGGAATGATCTACTGTGTCGAAAGCATTCGAAAAATCTAAAAGCGTCAGAACAGTTAAATCGCCTCTGTCATAGGCAGGGCGAAAGTCTTCAACAACCTTGAGCAAAGCTGTTGCACAACTATGGCGGGCTCTGTAACCAGACTGAAGGTCTGATTATGCATACTTCGCACAACTTCTTAAACGTAACACAACTTTACAAAACTTTAGGGTAATTATGCTCCGCATACTACCAAATTTATCAGTACTACCAACCTTATGAAAATGTAAACAATATATTATAGTGCCATTTGCCAATTGATTTATTTCGAAAGCATGGAGCGTAATTTGTTTTTGAATTTAGCATTTTTAAATATGTGCCGAGCCTTCAAAAAATCTAAGCAGCGTCGACAAGTTCGACGGTGGGCGATTCGTCCAATAAATCGTGACCGAATACCAAATGGATATTTTAAAAAAGTTTTTTTAAAAAAGAAGATGTACGATGAGGAAAAGTTTTTCATCGAGACCAGGATGACGCGCAAAGTATTCGACTTACTGCTGAATTTAGTTGGCTCTTTTTTACAAAAACCCAGACAGCAAATTGGATGTGAAGAGCGGCTCGCAATTACACTTATGTAAGTGAGTTATGAAGGAACGTTCGTTTTATAAACAAGTCCTTTTAATCTGTAGGTATCTTGCACATGGGACTTCCTTCGAAATAATTGGGTCCATGTATAAACTGGGTAAATCTACAATACGTGCGATTGTTTTCGAAACATGCGAGGTATTGTGGGGGACATTGTCTTCTGCTTACCTGAGTGAGCCGAGTACTACTCAATACCAACAAATTAGCGAAGATTTCAAAAAAAATGTGGAACATGCCGAATTGTGTCGGAGCAATTGATGGCAAACATGTTGCCATTACTTGCCCTAACAATTCCGTCTCCATGTTCTATAACTACAAAAAGTTCTACAGTATTATTTTAATGGCGACTTGTGATGCAAAATATACGTTCACATGGGCAAGTGTTGGAAGTTATGGAAGCCAGAGTGACGGAGGTAAAATTTAATACTACATAAAAGCTTTGAAGTCTTGTAACTATGAACTTTGTTCCTATTTATAGGAGTTTTCCAACATATGTACTTCATTTGGACGATCACTCTTGGAAAATCAGCTGCCATTACCACCAAGCACACGATTATATGATGGTTCACCGCATGTATTCCCCCATTTTTTTGTCGGCGATGCAGCGTTTCCGCTAAAACCTAATTTAATGAGGCCATATCCCGGATTAGGTTTAAACCGAACAAAAACCGTGTTCAATTATCGCTTGTCACGAGCACGCCGGGTAATTGAAAACGCCTTTGGCATACTAACTGCCCGTTGGCGGGTGCTACGCAGTACAATTGAGTGCAGTCCGCAAAACTGTGAAAAAATTGTACTGGGTTGTCTGTTGCTTCACAATTTTGTGATGTTGAATGACCAGAAGCGTTGGTATTGTCCAAACGGCTACGCTGATACGGAGGAAAGTGCACAAACATGGCGAATTGATTTGGCAGATCTTGGAGGCCCGTTACCGTCCATCACGTCGTCTCGACGCAACGCATCCTTAATTGCATTCCGCAACCGGTAACTAACATTGACTAATTATTAATGAACAAAACAAAAAAAGAGATCCATTTCAAAGCGCTTTGTTGCAAAGCAACAGTATCTTAAATTCTAAAATGTAAGGCATATTAATGCTTCGGGCTCCACCCCGCGTTGGGTCAAACTCATTCAGTATTAAATAACAAAAACCAAAATGCCTCTTAGTAAAATTTCATATAGTTCAAAAGTATAAACTTAAAGTAATTCAATTAAACATTTACATGCAGTTGTCTACGAAATTATAGGAGTGCAATATTTTGGCCAGTTTTGAATATTTGTCTTTTGTTTATTTAATGAAACACTTTCATCCAAAAAAATTATCAAAAAACAACGGGATTTTCTCCAACTTAAAACTTGCACTTCATTAAACTCCAATTAAATGGGCCACAAAACTGCATACAAAAATTTCGTCTAAAGACTCTGATAAAAAAGTTTAAAGTTTTGGCGAAATTTTGTACAAAGCTTGAGATGCTAATTTATTGGGTGTTCGTTGTACAACCAGCTAGACTTAAAAAAAGAATAATAAACATTAAATAAACAAAACACAAATATGCAAAACTGGCCGTATATTAATTTCCTATAATTTTGTGGACCACTGTACGTACGTATGTATGTACATACATACTGTTAAATGAAGATACACATTCCGAATGTGTGAAGATTGTGAATTTGGAGTCTACGGCGAAACTTCTGCCTTATGCTCCAATTTAAGAGCCATTACTGTATTCGTCACAAGCTGAATGGCTTTGATTTGCTTCTCAGCACTCATTTCGGCAATGCTGGCAACAGTCATATGTCCAAAAGCTCGCAAGGTTTCGCTGCATTTCGGTGCCAGCTGTTCTTTGCAAACATTTTTGTACAACTCCAACGCCTCACGAAATTCTTCGTTGCCATTATCACACTTTTTGAGCTTTCGACCGGGTGCCACTACACCCGACAATTGCTCTTGCTCTTCTAGTGGAAATAGCGGTGGTGATTGTGGCATAAAATCATGGCTTTCATTTAAAATAGGGGATGACATTTGCGAGGAAGGTGAAACTAGCGAAACGGTTTCCTCCAACACGTTGAATGTGCATCGATTACTGGGAAAATTTTTATGTTAATAATATTCATCCACATTGCATAACATATTCACTTACTTTCGTGGTTTCACGTAAGGTTTAAGAAAATTTAGTTGATCAAACAATGACCAAGCTGTTGAGCTTTTTGCAGCGCTTCCGGACGGTGCATCCAACGCCTTGCATTCTCTTGTGTATCGCTCGCGCAGTGTCTTCCAACGTTTAGTGCATTCTTCCTCTGCAACAAAACATGAAAAAATATTGAAATGCAGTGATATCAATACATGAGGGCTAACCTGTGGCTCCTAAATCGTTGGCTATAGCCTCCCATGCCGATTGCCATTTTAGTGGCAGCCGGTAGCCCGAGGAAAATTTATTATAAACGACTTCATGGCTCTGTACTAGTTGCACCAAACGCTCGTCATCGAACATCTTGAAATATAATAGAAATCAGTATTTCTTGCAAATGTAATTGTATTAAATATACTTACAATATTCTTAAATTTATTGTTTCCGCTTTCTGATTTCAATTGAATGATCAAACAAATATCAATGCTATCATCGCAATAGGGTTATTCACGATGTGTGAACAAAAACAGCTGTTTTTGGTTTCTTTGGGTATACATATGTATTTGTTAACAGAAAAATTTATTGAAGTGGCAATTAAGTGATTAATTGATTGAAGTGGTTTTAATAGGGCATATTCAATTAAGTCGAAGTTCAAATGAAGTCGACAATAAAAGATCTTTGCAGCTTGACATAATTTTCAATGCAATGACAATGAATTAAAAATAATGAATAAAATGAAATAAATAAATAAATAATGAATAAATGAAATAAAGAATAAAAAATCTCGCAATATACCTTTAATATATAGTGATATTACAATTTCTAGCCTGTGGCGCTTATGTTTTTCACTTATAACAGTATTTTAAGTATAAGTGCAGAATACGTACATTTCTCTGATTAAAAAAAAATTATATTAGGATCGATAGGGGTCTTAGTCCTGATAATAACGGTATAACATTTTTTTGGGGAAATAATTACTGGTGTTATTGAAGTTCGATGTAGAGAAATGTACGTATTCTGGACCTGTTCCGTATTTTAATATACATTAATAGGTCTATTCTGCACGTTACCGAAGATTTTGTAACCGGGAAGTTTTATTACCAAAAAATGTTACCAGTTCTTGTCACCGCGATTCGAGGAACGTTGGTAATGCAGTTAAAATATTCAGCAATTCAGCTATGAAGAATTGTGAAAATCCTGGCATTGCATATTTCACGGGGCAATAATTTGTTACCAGCTTATGAGATGATAACAAAATTTACCGGTTACAAGAATGCACAGAATGCGAAAAGGGTTTAAAAATTGACAGGAACTTTATTTACCGGTTACAAACATTTTATTACCAGCGCAGAATAGACCTGTTGGTGAAATATGATGCGCCGAAGTATTTTGCATTACAAATCAAAGGTATTTTTGTGCTCTTTCTGATGAACAAATCTTTTAATAATGTTAATCACGTTTTCTTTTAAGAAAAACATAAATTTGTATTACAGAATGGCCATCATTACTATTTTTAATTTTTCTCGAAATATGTATGCTTTTTATGAACAGATATTCATATCAAATAAAAGGCCTTTCAATGACCTTTCCAACCTTGTCCATACTTTGAAAATAGGTTAAACAGTTTCCGAAATATAAGCAAAATATTGATTTATTATTTCACCCCTCTAGCACCGCCCCTATGAATTTTCACCATTAAAATCACGAAAAAGGGGCGGGCCACGTTCACTTTTTTTTCTCTAGTTAAACGGGCTTTATTCTTTACTTGTTCTCAAAATTATACACATTCCCCATACATGCTTTGCTAATTCTAAAAACGTTTATACATAGTATGTATGTATGTTGCATTACTTCCTTCTCTGTCACTGTACTCCTTCAATGACTGTTTTGATAAATTTTAGGTGTTGTATATTTTGCATTTTATTACTGCATGGATTTTAGTTTTTTTTTAATTTTCAGAGACAACATTACATGGATAGAATCGTGAATTCCCCTAATATGCTTTCCATGCAACTCTGCAAAAATGTTGCTATTGGTACCACTGCAATTGAAATGTCACTTAAGAAAACGTGAGGCAAAATCTAAACTCAACAGATCGCAAATTTTTTACAAGTACTGCTAAAATCTGGGTAATGGAATACATACAAAACGCATTCAACAGATTTTCATCTGACAGTTTGAAATTTATGCGAAGTTGTGCGAAGTATGCATAATCAGACCTTGGCATTCGTTTAATAGCTTATTTTTGTTAAGGTATTCAGTAATTTGAACAACAACTAACTTTTCCCAGAGAGAAAGAGCCGATGGCTTTTTAGCAGTTGGGATAACTTTCGCTACCTTCCAAGCATCGGGGAAAGTTGAAGTTGTTATTGACAAATTAATAATGTGAGTCCAAGTGGGAACTTGTTTAGTGCTATAATTTTCAAAAACCTAAGGCTTATACCATCCTCTCCAACAGCGTTTGATTTTATGGAGTACAGAATTCTTATGACATCATCCTCAGTTACTGCGTTACACTGCAAAGCATTGTCAGGTGTAAACGTATTTCCTTGTAAAGAATTGTTGCAAGCATCAATTTTGAGTAAATTAGCTTTAATATTTATTGATTTATCCAAGATTTCGTCTTTCTCCAAATTACCGTTATATGGGAGGTAGGCGTGGTTATTGTCCGATTTTAAAAATTTTCGACCAAGATATACACATGTAACCATAAGTGGGCGTGGCTACGCCCATTTTCCAAAAATTTATAATATTCTTAGTTTTTGTCTAAAAATTGTTGTAAATATTAATTTTTAGTGAATAATCTTCAGTAGTTACTAAAATATCGCTTTTTTCGTATTTCTGAAAATTACCGTTATATGGGAGGTAGGCGTGGTTATAGTCCGATTTTGTCCATTTTCAATACCATCCGTCCTACGCTGGAAGGAAGTTCACATACCAAGTTTCGTTAAGACATCTCAATTTTTACTCGAGTTATCGTGTGCACAGGCGGACGGAGAGACGGACAGACAGTCACCGCTTAATCGATTTCTCTTTTCATTCTGATCATTTATGTATACATTTGTCGATATCTATCTCGATTCGTTTTGCCTGTTACAAACAACCGTTATGTGAACAAAGTTATAATACCCTTGTGCACAAGTTCGCTCGGGTATAAAAATGCAAACGAATAATTGCAAAGGTGGAAAGTTTAGGGTGCAATCTAGGGTGAAGTGACGTTTTGTCGAATTAAATAGTTTAAATTTCGAATATAAAAAATATAACAAGAATTTCGAACTTGAGATAGCTAAGTAAAATATTAATTTTTCGTAGTGGCCGTTTTAAATGCAATGTAAAAGGTTTATGAGAATACATAATATGATTTTTTTTAATTTATTCCTTTTGACCACTTTTATTTAGAATTGTTTATTCTTCAAAATGAAAGTGACGCTTTTCCCATACCTACATACAAGTAAATATTAAGTATGGTAAAGGAAAGAAAAAAAAACTAAAAACGAATCTGATCAAAAGATGATTGTACCTAAAATCTAGCGATTATACCTAATGTACCTTTAAGCCATCAAACGTCGGAAAAAGGTAGACTTGTATGTACCTACTTTTTTATCTCTGATTCGTACATACATATATATTGTACATACGTGCATTCAAGTAGTGAACAAGGATTCGGAATACTGTTTTGCCGAAGTCAATATCAGTATGAGCTGTTATAAGTATCGTTCACTTGTAGTGGCTGCATTTGCAAGACAGCACGCTATGCGCTGGTGTTCAGTCATTCTCTAATTTCTTTTAGGTATCGATACTACTAAGCTAGCGCGCTGCTCCGTCATACAAAGTAGCAGTATTGATTGAGTTCAAGAATGATAGAATACAAGATTGCGCCAATGAGAGAATTTTTGAGCGTAATTTTTGCGTGACGTCAGCTTGGTGCAATTGCGAGAGAGAAATGCCAAAATGCATATAAAAATATGTAAACAATGCAGAAAAATGTGTTAGTTTTAATATTACATGGCCCAATTTTGCAGGAATCAATAAATATACAAAGATTCATTAATTGGGAACACGTAGCAATAATTTTGGACATGTAGCCATTTAGGTAAGTACGATTTTTAGCACATGAAAAAGTGGATGTATTAACAGTGTTTGCAATTTTATGTAGACCAAAAGGAAGGTGTGCAGCAAAGTGAATTTTTGGACTCGCCATTGTAAAAAGCCATGCAGAGTGCATATTTATATATGTGGACGGTAGCCAACCACCATAAACTCCACAGCTGTTGACTCCACAGCTTTTATTTGATGACTTTTGTACCATTTCCGAGAGGAAATAAATATTCTTTGTAAGTAAAACATAATTCAAGCTGAACTTTTAAATGAGCACTGTTTTGTATTAGGTACGTAACAGCGCGGTAAGATGCCGCTTGATTTAGTGCCTGGCGACCTTATCCACTGGTGCATTACCTCATACCAGCACTAAAAAGAATCAGGTACTAACAAAAATGTATATATGTGTATATGTACACATGTATTAGCTTTAATCTTGTTCTAACTACAATTTCCTCTGTTTTAATAGAAATATGTAAACCCAATACTTGCCTCAAGCATATTTGTTTATAATAAAAAAATCATTTCGAACTGTGTATTATTTTCAATATTTTCACTAGTAAAGTGCTTCATGCACACATAGCTCGATTTGGTGTTTAATACATCTCCTCGTCGGCAGAACTGCTTCAACTTTTTCGCCAGATTTGCTCCGTAGGAAACGAAAAAAACTTATATCGCACGCTTTCCTTTTGTTTTCACTATTACACTTTGCCACGGCACACTTCATTTTGCCTTGTAGTGTCTCAATAATTGTTTAGAACCATGCAGAAATATTAACGCACAAATATTTAAATTGTTATTTGGTTTTTTCGTATGCTCACATTCAACAATTGCACCAAGATGACGTCACGCACACAGCTCATTCTGTCAAAATCACAAAGAGCGGATTAGCGGTACCGCGATTGGCGCAATCTCTATTTCTCTCAATCGTGGATTGAGTTTGCAATAGTTGGCGTTCAACGCAAGCCAGTCTCTGATATGTATGTACCACTCGTGTGCATTGTGCATACTTACAAGTGAAAAAATAATTAGATGTTTTCCCGAAATGCCTCACAGCTGAGATCACCTGATTCTATGTGCTACAGGGTTACACTCAATATATATAAAAAAAACTTTAAACGGACTCTGAAAAAACCAGCAAGAAAAGTTCTATTGAGTTTAGGAGTCATTGACCAAAAGGCTTTAATATATTAAACTGCTATATAAACATAGGAATTCATTTAATTCAATGCGTATTTGGCCAATTTTTAAGCTTATTTCAATAACTTTAGCCTTTTTCTACATCCCTTTAAGCACCCTGTCTAACATTTTGACAGGTTATTTCTATGTTTTTACAGGATATTTTTATGTATTTTCCAGGCGGTTTCCAGGCAGAAGAA